AGTCTCTCACACCAGGTTGGTCAATGGTTAGAGGTCTGACTAACACAGTCTCCTGGCCCTCCAGGTTGGGGGTTGGAACATGTGGCGACTTGTTCCGTAGAAATGGTAATGCATTTGCATTTCCCGCCAAACACCGCTGCCTTGCGGTTAGGCCTTTGAGCCAAAGGCTTTTTAGTTGAGGACACTAATCGTCCTTCTGTCTAGGTGTGGGCGCCCTGGCAATATCCCAGCCCACGTACAACTATGAATTGCACATATGCAAATTCAAGTAATGAGTGGTTAATAAAACCGACAGAATTGACTCAACTACACAGTCAATGGCGTTTCTGCATCAAATCCACTGACCAATATACGCTACGATTGTGCCAACACCCCCAATGCTTGTTTCCGTCTCCCACGCCACCAAAACTGGGACAACTTGAATCAAAGTACCCCCGGTGCATGGATTATGGCTAATAAACTGATTGGGTGAATGAGTGAATGATCACGTGACCTTTCCTTCAGTTTCTGGAAGGTTGAATCACAACACCATTGGATCTTCACGTCTTCGTTTAATGAAATTCATTGCATTTTTTAACGCTGAAACGCTTAACATTACATTCATAAAGTTGTAAAGTTAACTATCGATTCCACTTTCCCACTCTTACCTCTTGGTCTCTTTTTTCCAGACGCTTGCAACAACAAAGAATGTAAATACTACGCGATTTGCCAAAAAAATGCAGATGGCGAGCCACAATGCATATGCCCGACTGACTGTCCTTATGTTCAGGTGAGCCTTCTCCGCCGAAAATCGATACATCCCAAAGAATCAATAAACGTTTACATTCCCTCACGTAGTTTACTGTAGATTCTTCTTCCTATCCCTTTACTTCGGATCCTAGCCAAAGCTTCTCCTGTTGAATGGAAGTAAATGGTGCTTCATTTACCGCTCCCTGGACTGCCAAAGACCGACAGTCTGCTGGCAAGCCATTAAATGTAAACATTTAGTTTGTTTAACAACTGATGATCCATGAGATAGCTCAGTGGTCAAGGCGCAAACCTACTAATCAGAAGGTCCGCGGTTCGAACCCTTTCCCCGGCATATCGACTGTTGCCATCTAGGCTTGGGCAACCTACCAGTATCTCAGCTCTTCTACTTTCTCGGGGCGGTTCGGCAACTAGGCACCAGAAGCGTGCTACAACTGAACCATCCCTTTATAGCGAATACATTTTCTGAAGCGCATTTTGATTTTTTGTTAACATTAGTCGTGGTACAACTTAGAAGGGGTTCGGAAGAAATTAAAAGGGACTGAAATAACTTTTAAAAAAGACGTGTACAACGTAGACACTAGGAAGACGAGTGTCTCAGACCGGAAGGTGAGCACGGGTTTAGTCAGCTTGTTCTAGAATTTGTCTTAGATTTCTGTTGGTCTCAAAGATCCATCCGATGTCCAACATCGCACATACCATGTTTTTTTCAGGGGGGAAAAACTGTCTGTGGCAGCGATGGAAATACGTACGAGGATGAATGCGTTTTGAAAGTGCGCTCATGTGCCGAACAACGAGAAATCTACGTGATACACGAGGGACCTTGCAGTGAGTAATCAAGTCGATTAATCTTTGATGGCAGACAAGTATTGCTAACAAGAGTTCCCACTTTGCAAATCTGACGACGTCCGTCGTTTTGGACTATCTTTTTTATTAATGATATTTTATCGGTGTACTTTGCAGTTCACTTTGGAGGGCTGTCATAGTTAAACTGATAGGCAGAGAGTGGAGACATTCTGGAGTACTAGTAATTGCTTCCGGCAATCCAAGTTCCTTTTTCAGAGGTTAAACTTTCCAGTATGTAGCTGTTTCTGGCGAGAATAGCCACAAGGATGATTTTGCTTAGAGAAAGCAGTAAAAATATCCAATCACATTTCCCATTCAAAATCTACTTAATGTGTATAATGGAAGTATAATGGAATAATCGCGCGGGGGCACGGGGGCAACTGGTCAGACCAGATGAATGTGAAGAGAATGTGAAGAGCTGGACACAAGCAGCCGAAAACTGTCTGTCACACCTAGTTTTCAAGTGTCCCTGGCGCCACCTGACTGGTGTCCTTGACAGACGATTCAGCCGATCGGCAGAACCAGGTTGAAAATTTCGATTGAAATCTCCAATTCTCCTCGTATTCACACAAGGAGTGCACCTGTCCTCTGAGAACTCATCATTTGAGCAGCCAGCCAACAAGCGACAACCTTAGGTGAACTCCGTGACTGAAGTGTGAGGGGCGTTCAATCTTGCCTAAATGCAATTTCATCTTGCTACCCACTAGCCACTTGTGACCGAGCAGTTTAGTCTTCACGTGTTAACCGGAAGGTCGCAGGTTTGAGTGGCCCCGGCGATTCATTGGATACTCATTACTGATTATTCCCAGGCTTTTCAGCGTTAGGGATTTTAATTGAGGAACCAAAATCTCGATTGAACTCTGAAAAATTCTTATTACTTTTGACCGTCAGGATATTTGATTGGCCTTCATCCGAGACATCTAGTACACCCATTGCACAGCTCATGTGGGAACATGTTTACCTGTCCAGTCTTGCTAATTCAGGTAGAGATTAGCGAAATACAATCATTTGTATATCAATTTAGTTGTGACGGGCGACTCACCTGGAACCCGGCTGAATCTCTCGTTTACAATGTTTGAAGGTGAGAATCAGCTGGGTTCCGGGTGAGTCTCCCAGTCAAGACCAAATTGGTTTGCAAATGAGTGTCCTTCGCCTATTTCTTGCTATTTGACGAAAACTCGGGGAATGCGCCTACCTGATGAGCCCCAAGAAGAGCGAAACCGGTCATTGGCTGTCGGAGAGTTTTCAGCAACCTTATCAGTAGTGCATTATGTTCACTGAGGTGGACCTTATTCGTGCATGTTAGATTTCCGAAGCTCAAATCCACACACGGCCTAGGATGACGCATTATTGATGAGTTTCAATACAGGAGAAACTCTAGTCCAGTGCTTCTCTTTGGCATCGAATGAAAAGTACACGTGTGCCTGTCCAACCGAAGGGCAGTTCAACGACGCGATTTAAAATGTAATTCATGACGCTGAGTGATGGTTACCACTTTTCGTTGGTTTGTGTGGATGAGTTAGTGTTACGTCATCTCGGTTAAAATGGGCTCTTGACTTGGCTTCACTCTTTTCCCCATGGATCTGAACCATTCCCCTTGACTGATAATGTCCCATAGCGCTCTCCAGCTATACGCCCGCTATTCTGAGATGTTTGGAAGTTCCCCGCATTTCGTCCATCAGAGCCGTCTTGTGAGTTACGGTTCACACCTCGAAACTTCCACATGCTCTGAGCCTACTGCGCACTTGCGCCATCGCTGACTGTTTGAGCAGAGTATGATAATCGCCCTGATCGTTTGTCAATTCCATCATTCATCATACATGCCAACTGTGGCATGCAATCCCCTGGTGTTAGGACCTGGTGCAGTTATTACCTTCATTTTAATTCATATGGCCTTTAGTTCTTTCAATCGGAGACGTTCCTTCAATCACATTAATCCTTCTGGAACGCCACTATAATATCAGCCGTGCTACGTACCTCTCGAGTAATTTCAGGCAATCGCGCAGTATGTGTAATGGCTGTTAAGGGCTTGATGTTGAGGTCAAAATTGTTCGTAATTTTCGGTTAGTGAAACCCGATCGGTACCCACCTTCTACCCCAATTCAGGCTACTCTGTGGTTGATTTCTGTGTACAACACCTTGAGTCGTACAAATACTGGCCTACGTCTCATTAGGATGGACTGACGAGTGGTTGAAGCGGGTATCTGTTGGTGCTGGCCTTCAATAGTTTTAGTTTCCCACTCGATTCTTTATCGCACAAACCAAAGTAGACTATCACGTGGAGACCCGCAACAGTAAGATGGCCTGATCACAACAAGTCTCTCCTCCACATGAAGCGAAATTCTAGATAGGCAGTCGCGTCCAAACATATTCCTAAAAGCCGAAACAAATTTATTCAAAATCCCCTTGCTGACCTAGTTATCATGACTGAAGGGTCTCTGCCAAGTGCATTAACCAGTCTTGCAGTGCGCTGAACGCTGGTAACAACTGTCTAGCTATTTTCAATGCTCCCACCCCTGGCGACGTTTTGACGTGTCCAGCTGACATCAACACGAGGAAGAGGTCCGTTTGTTTCCACTTTCTTGGTGAGCTCATTTGAATTTTCGGTAAACGCATTCGACTCGATTGTTGTTGATTGTTAGATTTCCAGACGGCTTTGCTTGTGAAAGACATTTTTTGTCCTGGGCTGCTCATTTAAAGACTGCAGCAGGTTTGCCATGCTCACAAACCAAACTCAAACATCGAGATTGTTGACCAAACAGTCTATGTGCCGGAGGAACTTGTCTACAAAATAGCTCATCTACATCAGCTGCTGTGGGCGACTGTGCAAAACGGTTTTACCAGAGGAGTAAGAACCGAATCGAGCGCCGTGAGTGGTGTGCCATTCGAGTAGAACGACGTTCGATCTGCTTTCCGATTTTTTGATAAAAGGACAAGTCATGCCATAGACTGTATTCTTAGTATCAAACCTACTTCACCAACTTCACCGATGTGTAATTTCAATTTTCGCTGATGCAATAGCTACTTTTCAATTCGCTGTCACAGATGATTTTTGGAGTTTCCAACCATAGGATCTCGGATATTCTCTTGAGAACTTGGTGAGTAGAGCTGTGTAAAGTTTGGACAACCCAATGGGTAGATCAAAGACAGACGACCTTCAAAATTCTAAAGTATGAAATAATGGAGAAGAGTTTCTATAGGGGTTGCGTTACTGCTCATGGCGGACTAAATCATTCTTCGCTTTGAAGCAGTCGTGAATTTTCTAATTTACTGAGATTGATGATGATGGTGACGAAAAATCCCAGTGAAATGAAGCCCTGGTAACGGCTTGGTCACGAAAAGAGTGAACGTTACCGTGGTGTGACGGTTTGAGCACCTTAGCGATCCATTGAGCTATACTGGGGAGTGTCCCCTTGACACTCACAGAGTCTCTCATACCAGGTTGGTCAATGGTTAGAGGTCTCTCCTAAAAAGCAGCCTGTTACACGGAGTGTCATCTTCAACAGACATAAATGGAATGGACTCGAACTTTTTTAAAATCCATTGTTGTGGAAAATTCCACTTAGAGCCGAAAGTTGCAAACGGCATTTCACTGAACACTGCTTCCAGCAGTCCAGACGACTAGAATGATAGAAAGCTAAGCAGTGGGTACGTGTGAGTAGTAGTGAGTTCTTCAGCACTTGAACCCAAATCATCATCTTGCACAGGAAGAAACCATACTTTAAAACTAAAACTTAATATCACGTTTGATTTCACCAACTGACAACGAAAAAGGCGAGGCATCGGGTGTGTAGGCCAAAAGACCAACCAGCGTTTCAGCTCACCTCTTGGTCTGCCACTTCTGTCACTAAGACTACAGTGACATGCAACTGAGCCCAGTTTTGGAATTTCGCACAGTTAGCTTTCAAGTGCCGTCACGAACAGGTTGGACCTTACCATAGTGTGACTGTTTACGAACCTCATCGACTCATTGAGCCATACTGGGGAGTGTCCCCTTGACACTCACAGAGTCTCTCATACCAGGTTGGTCAATTGTTAGAGGTCTAAAGAACACAGTCTCCTAGCCCTCAAGGTTATGGGGTGGAACACAAGGTGACTTGTTCCGTGGAAATGGTAATGCATTTACATTGCCGGCCAAATAGCGCTTCTTTGTGGTTAGGATTTTGAGCCAAAGGCTTTACTTGAGGACCCTAATCGTCTCCCTGTCTAGGTGTGGGCGCCCTGTCAGTATCCCAGCCCTCGTACAACCATGACATTACGGCAGTGAAGCATCGGTATTGAACACGAATTTCATGATAATGATGACAGGCTTGTCGCACATTAATTTTACTTTTCTACCATTGAGAGCACCTTCTCAATCGATGGAACAAGGACTGAGCTAGTGACTTCTCTGAGAAATGCATGGAAAATGGGTGATATTTTGACATCCTGGATAAACACAGACTTTAGAATGGGCAGCCATACTATAGAGTCGAGCAGATCCGCGATAAGGCATTCTTTCGAAAGGCCTTACGATATTAGCTCGACAGTTTTCCATATTCCTCTGTTTTATGCCAGTGGCAGCAACGCCCATGCTTTTGAACCGTGTTCTCTCGTGGCAACTAACAGACGTTCCATTCTGTCCACTTTCACTTGTGAACCAATAAACCAAAAAACCACTGCTGGTCTAAGTGGCCCAACAGAAAACAAGACTCCGAAACAACAAAACTAGGCCCTTGAGATAACGCGAAAATTCATCAAAGGCACTAATTCACCGGAGTAAAAACATTGCTAATTAGCATCGTATGCAAGGATTCTATCTGGATGAGGTCGTTCGATGGCGCGATGGCAGGTTTTGTCAAACCAATCAGACCGTGTTCTACTGCCAACCTTGTAGTCGCCACCGGCTAGTCTCGTTGAACCTCATATACAACTAAGTTACCACGGTAATGATAGACCAACTTGGGCATATCAATCTACTCAAGGATTTAGCAGTCTGGTGG